CCAGGACCCTGGGATCATGACCTGTGCCGAAGGCAGACGCTTAACGACTCAGCCACCCAGGCATCCCAAGTTTTAGAATTTTTATTATTTTACAATTCACATTTGGATCTATAGCTCTCACAAGACACATTTTAATTTTTATTGATGTGTAACTTAGAGAAAGTGCACAAATCTTAACTATTCAGCTTGATGAATTTATACACATGTATACAAATGTACATATAGTTGACTTTTAAACAACATGGGCATGGGGCACCTGGGTGGCTCAGTCATTAAGCCTCTGCCTTCAACTCAGGTCATGATCCCAGGGTTCTGGGATCGAGCCCCGCATTGGTCTCCCTGCTCCATGGGAAGCCTGCTTCTCCCTCTCCCTCTCCCCCTGCTTGTGTTCCCTCTCTCACTGTCTCTCTCTCTCTCTAATAAATAAAATATTAAAAAAAACAACAGAAAAAACATGGGCTTGAATTACGTGGGTCCACTTAGATGTGGATTTTTCTATACAGTACAGTACTATAAATTTTCTCTTCCTTGTGATTTTCTTAATCACATTTTCCTTTTTCTAGCTTACTTCATTGCAAGAAAACAGTATGTGATACAGATAACATACAAAATATATATTAATCAATTGTCTATGTCAACAGTAAGGCTTCCAGTCAACAAAAGGCTATTAGTAGCGAAGTTTTTAGGGAGCCAAAAGTTAAATGCAGATTTTCGACTGTGCAGGGAGTTGATGACTGAACCCTCATGTTGTTTAAGGGTCAACTTATGTGTGTGTGTGTGTGTGTGTGTGTGTGTGTGTGTGTGTGTGTGTGTGTACTACCTAGATCAAGATACTGAACATCTCTCACACCCTAGAGGGATCTCTCATACCTTTTTCAGTCAATAACCCCCAAAGGTAACAATACTGTGCCTGTAACACCATCAATTATTTGGCCTGTTTTTGAACTTTATATGCATGAAAGCATATATTTGGTGCTCTTTTGTGTCTGATTATAATTTGCTCAACATTATGCATATGAGATTCATCCACACTGCTGCATGTTGCAGCTCTTCATTCATTTTCATTACTGTAGAGTATTCCATCATATGACTACATCACAACTTATTTATCTACTCTCCTTCTGATGGACATGTGGATTGTTTCTTATTTCAGGGTATTATGAATAAAGTTCCTATGAATATTCTTGTACACGTCTTTTGAAGGATATAAATACTCATTTCTTTTGGCTGTCTACCAGGATACACAAAATTTTGATGTTACCATACTACAAAAACCATTTAGATTTGTCAAGCTCTCCCTGTCAAGTACATATAACATATTTTAATTGTTCCCACATCCACAATTCTTATTAGAAAAAAAGTGAAAACCTTTTCTACTTCTTTGAAATAATTTCAGACATACCCCAAATTGCAAAAACAACACAAAAAAAGTCCATATGCTCTGTATCAAAATTCCCCCATGTCAACATTTCACTATATTTGGTTTATCAATTATCCCGTGTGCATGTCAGTGTGTGTGTGTGTGTGTGTGTATGTATGTGTGTGGTCTTGACACTGTTGAAGAGTATAAGGCTGTTACTTTGTAGATTCTATACATTTGGGTTTATGTGACATTTCCTCACAATTAGATTCAGGTTATGTGTTTGGAGCAAGAATACACAGATGTGATGCTGTGTTCTCAGTACATCATATCAGAAGGCACATGATGGTGATTTGTCTCTACTGCTGTTAATTTTAATCACTCGGTTAAGGCACTTTCTGCCAGGTTTCTCCACTGTAATACCACTGTTTTTCCCTTTGTTATTAATCAGTGTCTTACAGGAAGATGCTTCGAGATTATGTAAATATCCTGTTTCTCGTCCTACTTTCATTTCCTAGTTTTACCATCCATTGATGATTCTTTTTAAAAATTTTAATTCCAGGATAGTTAACATACAGTGTTATTCTGTTCGTGATTCTTGCCTGAAATAATTTTTATGGAAGTGATGAAAACTAGTTTTTGTTTTTAATACATTCAAATTTTTCAAAAAATCTTACAGCGATAATCAGGATTTCTCACAAATCCAACTGAAATCCAGAAGATCACCAGACATTTATCCGTAAAAATACCCCCAAAGTCACCTTGAAAGATTAAAAAAAATAAAACTGGCAAACTGGTGGTGGTGGCATTCTCAAGCAAAGTGCAGCCACCCCCTGGGAGCCTGGGAGTCAGCCAAAGAAGACAGAAAAGGAATTCTCCTACAAGTCTCCACTTCTGTGCACACCACCCCCAGACCATCTTGGTGCAGGCTGAGAAAAGATGTTTTGCATGCTCAAAGCATCTCATTCTAGAAGGAGCACCTAGAATGGGGAGCAGGGGTCAAGTCCTGCAGATCCTGAGGGCCCCTGGGGTTCAGCCTGTGTCTTCTCTGGAGAAAAAGCAGAAGGTGAACTTTGCCCTTTTGTTTCCAGGAGATTCTCACTCACCTTTCTAGCTTTCTGGAGGCTGGGACCTGCTCACCTGCTTAAGCAGCAGACCCAGCACAATCAATCCATAGAGATCCTAATATCCTGTGGGTTAACTAGTGAGGCTCCTGGAAGCAAAGTCACCAAGTGAGTCGACAAATAAGCAGGTGGACGGAGTCCCAAAAGCTCATCCTTCGAGCCAAGGGTGAGAAATGTGGTCTCTGCAGGTTAGCTCGCAAAACCAGTAACTCACAGGGCAGTTGCACAGATGATTGAGGACTGAGAAGGAAACCTTCACCTAGAACATGATCCCTGCAAGATGAAGACTTTGACTGAAGCACCAGAAAGACTACTTGCCTCAACTTGTCCAGCACAGTTTTACTCAGCAAGACCCAACTTAGCACGTCTGATACATCAGGCATCGTGCTGAGCACTGGGGAACCAAGGATGGGTAAGATATAGCCTCTGCCCTTGAGAGCTTACAGCAATGGGAGGTTTCTGCCAGGGGTAGACTCAGGGTCACCAAGACTCCAGTGGATGGTGGAGCATGGGCCCCACAGTTCCAACAGCTGTATTCAGACTGGCTGGTCATGAGCAGTCTCAAGGGTGAGGGCTGCCCGCCCAGTGGGCGGCTAAGCCTGGCTGTGGCAAAGCACATTTCACTCAAAGGTGTCCATCTACCAGTGGTTATATGGTGGTCCAGTTTTACCAGGAAAGGAGACACATCCACCAGCTACTTCTCTCTCCAACCCACAGAGTAATACATTTTTCATATTTGTATCTGTTGTTCTTGTTTTTATCAACCCCCTCTGTCATGTTCCTTGAAAACATTAGCATTTTCAAAGAAGAAATGAATGACAGTAGAAGGGTACATTCTGATAAAAGGGCATCTTTTCTGCCTGAGTCCCCAACTCTGAAACCTGCAATTGCTGGACCAAGGCCACAGCTGGCAATAATACTTCATCAGAGCTGGGATGCCACAATTTTAAGAGCATCATGACTTTTTTTTTCCCCAAAGATTTTATTTTTAAGTCATCTCTACACCCAATGTGGGCTTCGAACTTACAACCCTGAGATCAAGAGCTGCATCCTTTAATGACTGAGCCAGCCAGCTGCCCCAAGCATCATGACTTTCTATGCCACCAAGGAAGACAAAAAGCTGCCAAGTGAACAATGACACAGAGGAAGACAACACAGCCCAACTTCAATAGCTGTTAACATGTCAACACAGATGCACCCAGGAATCAATAAAACATGATCATTCTGGTTAATCTGACATGCTCCAAGCGCTGTGCGCTAGGTGTTGAGAAAGGAACACAGGAGGAAACAGAGGGCCATCCCAGTCAAATGGGGGAAACACACTCAACATCTAAACTTCACTTCTCCTTCTGTCCTCTCCCTCCCAAGCCCCCAACACCAACCAGCCAGGACCTATTCCTCCTCCATCGCACTCATACCCTTTCCAGGCTAAGATGTGAAGCCATCTGGTCTCACCATGCTCCCTCCTCTCCCATCCAGCCCAGGGACTGCAACTCCATCTGCCCACCTCATCCCACTGCAAACCCCAAAATCCTGCAAACCCAAGCCCAAAGCCTGGAACGTTCAGCCTCCCTCTGCAACCCTCCCACTCTCCATCACTGCCCCACGGCGTGATTTCAACATGTTGCCCCACTTTTTGTTCTTTTGCTTTCCTCCCTACAAGAAAAATAAAATAACCTGTCTTAAAGTGTAGCCATGAGGTCAGATAATTATGGAATCCAAAATGCTTTGAGCCTTGATGTAAAAAAAAAAAAGATCCAAGATTAACTGAGACTATGACAACAGCCCTGTTTTTATGAATATTGCTTTTTTCAAGATGCCTTACTCCTAACACCATGCTTTATGTCCATCCTTTTAAACAAATATTTAATAGCTAAGGAATTTTAGTGAGGGCAGAGGCTCTGGTTAGCGAGGCCTCAGCTCGCAATCTAAAAGATGAAATGAGTTTTATCCACAAAGAAAAGTCAAACAGTCTCCACTATTATAAACTGCACATCCATCAAACTAGGCATGGGCTGGGAACAGAGATCCTTTCTGGAAAGAAAATAGCAGCTACCCTTTGTGACCTAGGGAAACACTGGAAACACACACACACACACACACAAAACCACCAAATCAACCAAAATGTAAACCAATTCTCAAGTTAGTTTGAAGACAGTTCCGTCCCAACAAAGCGAACGATGCTTTGGAGACACTTCCACCCAGGAGAGGAGGGCCAGCCCTGGGTCCAGCAAGGCGCCCGGGTCGGAGTAACACGCAAGCACACGTGTTGAACCGGCAAATCCACGAGAGCGCAACAAGGAGTCGGGCGGCTGTGCCAGATCTGACCTTGGGACAGTCTGCAGTCCTAGCTGGGCGGGCAGGGCAGGGCTAAGAGGGCCGGGAGGCTGCGGAAGCCCGGGCACAGGCCTGGAGGAGGGGGCCGGCTAGGCGGGGAAAGGAAGCAGGTGCGGGCTTCCGAGACGGTGGGGCTGGAACGACGGACGACCCGGCTGGGGCGGGGAGCGGGTTCCTACCTTCAGGGCCGCCAGGGCCTTCCCGTGTCTCCAACGTTGCAACCAGCAGGTTGCACCTAGGCAGGTAACAGCCGTTCCAGCATCTGCGAGCGCGCGCCGCCGGCGTCCCCCAGCCCCCGCCACGTGCACCCCCACGTGCACGCCACGCGCAGCGCCGGAAGCCCACGGGTGGGCGGTGCTCCCTGCCACAGAGGCCCTCGGGCCACGCCCAGCACCGGCTCACCTCCCTGAGCTTTTGTTCTGCGTCCTGCGCTTAACGTGCAGTAAAGTCGCCGGATCCTTACCTGGGGACCAGGGCTTCCAGACTGATGAGGACAGGGAAGCCCAGAGGGAAAGGGCCACTTGCTAAGGCACACCGACAGAAGGGGGTGACACCAAGATTTGAACCCTGGCCCACGGAGGCCTCTCCAACATCGGACCACTTGGGATCTTTGCCAAGTAAAGACACTGACCCTGTTGTGTGTTGAGAGCGCGCTGCTTATAACCACTGTCCGTGATTGTTATTCACCGCGTTTTGCTTGAGAACAGATGTGTTTGTCCTAGACATGTGTAGCTGAGTGTGAGTGTGTGCGGCTGTGTGCGCGCTTTGGAGGATGTTGGCCCTGGCAGATTCACACTCGACAAACTGGTCGAGCCCCCACCCTTGCCTGCCCCCGAGCTAGGCCATTTACACACATTATTTCTCGTCATCCTCAGCCCGTCCCGTCATCAATTAAAACTCATATCCTACTCATCTGGGGCACTGATTTTTAATTAGGCATCATGAATAGCTAATTAATCGTCCTCCTGTGTGGTATTCCAGGCTGGAGGGCGGTAGAGCTCTGCTGAGCTGGCCAAAGCTACCGCGGGCACTCTGGCTAAGCCCATTTACCCTGAGGGAGCCCCTCTTCCGGGGCCAGGACGTGAGAGAGAGAAGGCAGAGGCCTTGGTGTGTTGGAAGGCCTTCCTAGCAACACTGCTTCTTGACCTTTACTTCCTTTGATCAGCTCCGCTAGGAGTTTGGGCTCATTTATTCATCTGACTTCCATTTGTTAAAAGGGATATTGAAGAGGTTGAAAGGATCCCATCTGAACTCCTTCCTGTTCTTTGGAGAATGCTTGCCATTTTATTTTTTATTTTTAAATTTTTTTTTTACTCCTGCCATTTTAAATGTTTTAAACATACACAGGTAGATTCATTTTAATGAGTGTCATTTAAAAGTTTAATATGAAGAAACCGAGTGAGTCAGCCCCCGGCAAAGTTGAAAATATTAACCTATACAAGAATAATTCTTTTTCTTTTTTAAGATTTTATTTATTTATTTGAGAAAGAGAGAGGGATGGAAGAAGAGGGGAGAGCATAGAGAGAGAGTCAGAGGGAGAACAGACTCCCCAATGAGCAGAGAGCCCGATGTGGGGATCCATCCCAAGACCCTGAGATCCCAGGACCCTGAGATTGTGACCTGAGCCTAAGGCAGACACTTAACCGACTGAGCCACCCAGGCGCCTGCAGAAGAATAATCCTTTTTCAGGATACAAATGCTTCCACCAACATTAGCTTGTTTCATCTTCACTGTGAGCTGGAGGGCACTTTGACTACTCTCATTTTCCAGGGAAGAAATTGAGGCTTGAAGGCCACCTGCCTGGCCTAGGGCCATACACTGGGGTATGGGAGCCCACATTTAAGCCCAGGGCTCTCATTGCTACTGGCATGTCTTTCCCCACGTCTCCCAGAGTTTTGCTCTCATTTTAGTACCTGTTGTTCTCACTTCTTTGTGTCGAGGCCCTGGGTCCTTGAGGCCCTCCACATTCCTCCACATTTCAATAACCAGAGGACTTTGGAAGGAGAGTAAAGGAGGTTTGGCCAATAGGGCTGCCTCAGGTGGCTCAGGGACTCCAATAGAGGCCCTCCTCTGGGCCTGGTCATGCCAACTGAGGACCTGCTCCAGGCTCCTCCTCCTCCTAGGATCTCTTGTTCCTTCAACCCCTGCTCTGCAGAACCACATGCTATGGGGTGACTTGATCTCTTAGCCCGGTTAAAAAGCTGTGTTCCCAAGAGTCCTTTGAATAGTGACCCTAGAGCTGGGATTGACCCAGGGGAGAGTGGCTTTAGGCAAGTTGGCCTGGCTCCTTCCCAGGACCCTGACTTCCATCGGCCAGCCTGGAGGGACACTTTCAATTATTTTATTCATTTATTCTCCTTCATGTAATTATCTTTTATTGATCATCTAGCAAGTGCTACATGCACTATATACATTGTAATTCAATCATTTTTAATGACCCTACAAAAGTGAAATTGGAGGTTCAGAGAGGTTAACTTGCCCAAGTTATAGAGCTGCTAGTTGCAAGACCATCTGAACCCATGTTTCTCTGGCCCCGCAGTGTATACCTTTTCTTCCATACTCCACTGTTTGATTTCAAAAGAGGTATTGGAGAAAAGATTAAAAAAAAAAAAGTCAAAACCACAAAGAGAAGGAAGAGCCACATTTTGGCCAGAAGGGCTAATGTGATTATGTGAATGAATATTAAGCCTGTCTCTGAGCTTCTTGGAAGCAAGAAATAAAAGTGTGTTGGGAGGGATGGGCACAAAGCTCTACATGCTTCTCTATATAACACAGAGTCTCTATGGTAGAAGGAAATAAAAGTTTTTCCTTATCTTCAATTACAAAAGTAACTTTTCATGTAGGATCTTATACAAGGACATTATGAAACAAAATTAAAAATTTCAATAACCAGGTACAGCAAAAGATAGATAAACAGTTGTCCTGGGTAATGCATCCATCCATTCGGTAGTCATTCAACAAACACTGAGCAGCTATCACGCATTGGCTGCCTAGATGCAAAACACACACAAAAAGGTAATTACGCTGTGTAATCAATCCCCTAATGGAACCAGGCCCAGTACTCTAGCAGCACACACAAGTGGGATAACAACCCCATGGGTAGAAGTCTGATGACCTCACAGGCAAGATAACATTTGCCCACAGTCTTGGAGTTGGAGTTGGAATACCAACTCATTTCCAAAAGAAGGAGAAGCATTCAAGGAAAAGGGAAGAGAATGTGCGAAGGCATGAATGTAAATGGTGTGTTTGAAGACTGGATTGTCAGTGATCAGTGGGGAAGGACAGAACTCGTAGGTGACAGCCAGGCTGAGGAGAACCTTGAGGGCCATACAAAGCGTTTTCTTGGCAGGATAGCTGATTGAGTACTGAAGGAACAGAGAGAGGTGGAGATGGGGGTAGGCAGTTTAGCTGGGGAGGGCGGGCTGGGAGTGGAACGAGAGGGCTCTGGTAAGGCCTGAATGACAGAAATGTCCCTGGAGATCAACCTCCAGTGGAGGAAGAAGAGCCAAGAGACTGAAAGGCAAAGTAGAGGAAGCTTAGTTTGAGTGAAGGCAAGGACAAGGCAGCTAACAACAGGAAGATGTCTAAAAGAATGAGGTTATAAATAGAGTCTGGGGGTTGACAAATGGGGGGCCAAGGGTGAACTTAGCAACAGAATTTCAGGGCACAGTGGGGTCAAACAGTAGGTTGGGTGACATCGTAAGTGGTCACTGAAGAGGTAGACACAGGGAGGGAGCCATTCTTCCAGAAGTCTGGAAGTGGACGGAAGAGGCACTGACCTGAGGAAAGACTTGGGTCTCAGCATCCTTGAAGCCAAGGGAAGGGGCCTGATGCAGGGAGAGGGTGAAGAGCCCAGCAGGTGAAGGGGCAGCCTTGGGGAGGAGAGACCCCGTTCCTCCAAGACCAGGGGGAAGGGGATGAAGGGAACGGAGGAGGAGGGTGAAGAAGAGGAGGGAAGGGAGGCTGACTCTCGGTGAAATACAAGATGGGCAGGGCTGGGGCTCAAGGACAGTGAAGGAAAGAACCAAGCTCCCAACATGGAGGGTTCAGCCAAGAGTGACAGTCACAAGCCTCTCGTGGTGTACGATTTTCTCTGGCAGTGCTTGCCAACTTGGAAGAAGGGACCCAGAAAACAGATGGTTGGGCATATTTAGCATTGGGTACCATGGACAATGGAGCAAGGACCTGGGAATGACAGTGTAGTTGAACCATTGAGCAGGACATCATCCCAGGCAGAGACCCATGCTGATCACTCTCTGTGTGCCCCTCTGGATCCCCCTCCACCCCTGCTCTTCGCCTGGTGGGCTGTCATCCATGGGCGGCATCAAGGGGCTCCCTTGCCCTCTGGTTGCCAGTTAGGGTCACTTTGCTCCTCACCTCCACCCTACCCTCTCTGCCAAGGCTCTAGCAGCTCCTCCTGCTGCTCAGCACTCCCCAGGTGCAAATACCATCGGGCCCAGGGTGGCCGTCCCTGGTTCTCAAGATCGCTGGGGGCTGCCTAAACTCTGCCACCCCTCTGCAAACAGCCCTTTACTCATTTCTTCTGTGGGGGTCATTGGGGCCTGACTGACCCAGGAAGAACAGATCCCATGGGCCTGCCCAGCAGGATGGTGATGGAGGGAGATGGAAGGAAGAGGGGAAAGGAAGAGATGGCATGGTGGGGGAGAGGAAGATGAGGATTTCCCAGGTGGAGCTTATGTTCCTCTCTGGAAGAATAAAGGGGGCTCCACGGAATGGGGCAGAGGGTTATGGGATGAGAGAAGGGTTCTGGGAAAGGAAGGGTGGCAATTCACATTTGAGCCTGGACGGCCCCACTGGTTGACCACAACCAGTGCTTTTGTTTCTTACAAAAAAAACCCATCCCCCCCACGCCCCCCCACACGCATGCACACACACACACACACACACACACACACACTTAAAGAATAATCCTCCTTTGATCCCTCTGAGCCCCAGCGACCGCCAGGCCTCCTGCTGACTGCAGTTCCAGGTGACCCATTTCGGATTTGTGGCATCTGCACAAAAACGTTTCATTTGTTCTGACCTGGCTTTGCTGCCAGAAGAGTCCTAGCTCCCAGCAGGCTGCAGGAGGTTCAGCCACTTTATCACACCTTCCTCAGGCCTCCCTAGGTGGCCCTTGAGGTCTGGGCTGTCCCTGGCTGAAGCAGGATCCCAGCAGGCCTGCACACAGCAACTGTCTCCCCCTTACCC